AATTTCCTGTGTGAAATAGAGCAGAATGTTCCAGAATTTTCCAGAATTTTTGGCTTGAACTGAAAATGCCCAAATGTTACACAAACCTGGATATCCTTTGGTTGAGTTGCACCTCTACAGTAAGCTTTTTAGCACTTTTTACAACAGAATATGAAGCTGCACTGAAGCTGAAGGCTTTATCATCTGTTGACAGAAAACTTGTCTGTGAGTTAATTCAAATACAGTGAAACAGTTTTAAACAATAAATGACCACGTACTGTAAGTTATGATTTGCTTTAACTCCCTCCTTCTGGTAAGCCCCACCTTTCAAATAAGCACTCTTCTATAATACATGTAAGTGTTGTTTTGTTTGTAAGTGCCTTCATTTCAAAAGGCATGCCTTTCTAGTAAGTCCCCTCCCCCCCTTGTAAAAATAGGTATTCAAAACACTGACTTGGAATAGACTGATTAGGCGGCTTATAACAATAATATATACTTTAGTCTGTTTCCACATCCAAACAGTCTTTAAGTTACAGTATATGTTGCTGTACATAAAGTGATACATACTATTCTGATGATGACATAATTATTAGCCCCCTCTCCAAATATCAATCCATCTTGAGCTACAGTGTACCAAAAGTAAATAATCGCCCAGAAGGCTGACTGAATTGTTTTTATTAGCAAATCCTCTGGCAACTACATTCTTGTAAAGGTTTGACGCACAATACCTCCTAATATATTTGTTTTCAAAGCAGCACACAGGATAGATCCTTATTAATATATATAATCATACATGCGAGGATTAGGATGTGTATCTATATATATACATTAATTATACAAGAAAAATAATCTTCTGCAATAAAAACCTGCACCAAATATTCTTGATCCACAGAGTGACTTTGTGAGAAGATTCAATTGCTGTTCATGATCTTTATCAGGTTCTTTGGCGACCTGTTTTTGTCTTGTTATACTACGTAATGCAGCATGTCGAAAACTACAAATAAACAGAAGTAGACATTTACAATCAAGGACAAACATCTTGGGAGAAATTTGCACTTTTAGCACTTTTTCATGCCCACCCGGCCTATCAAACAGTCCTGTACGAATACGACTTCACTTACCCAGCCCTTCCACCTGACACCCCGCCTACAATGTTGAACACTGTCTAGTATTGTACTTGTAATTTCTCTTGAGTTTCATAACTGAATTGGTTGGGGGAGGGGGGAACAGCAACACATTTGTAAAAGGACAGTGCAGTGCTTTGTCAAACTTCAGTTGTAAAACACAGATAATTCATTGCATTATATCAGCATCCCAATGACATTTGTCCACCACCATGACCAAGGAAAACGTCTTTCTTACACACCGTTAGGGCCTGAGGCTAATAAAGGTCATGTGATTTGTACACCATAGTCTCTGGCTCCCAGTAGTGTGTGAGAAGAAGAGTTTTATGCTAAACCTCTTTTAAAGAGATTTCGCATAAAAAAGCATATTAAAACAGCCAGATTCCCTGAACCTCTTTCTATGTTTTCCACTATAGATTCAAAATTTGTTTCACAATTACACTGATTTAGTCCCTAAAGTGGGTGGTTTTAGTAGCAATTTTCAAAGTGGAACTTGACATTAACTTCAGTCAAACCTTTTCTGTAGTTTGTGTTACCACCAACCTTCCCAAAAGAAAAAATGGGAAAGACGTGTTTATAAATTAGATTTGTTTCTTTCAGGGAGGTCAATTGTGACATAATTGGAAACATTGGCAGCTTGTGGTTTAAATTTATTGTGGTTTAAAATTTGTCAGACGTCAATGAAAACTTAAAAAATCAAACTAGTTTTAAACGATAAATAGAGAAAAGAGAAAAATGAAAGACATATGATGTACTGTAGTTGCTGATATTATGTATAAATTAAATCTCACTCAACATAAATAGCACAACAAACATCATATACCGTGCTCTGGAGGAGGCAGTGTTTTGAGGCTGCTGTGCAATCTGTTTAAACTGCTTCAAGGCCAAGGCAACATCTGCTGCTGTTTTGTTGGCATTATAATCAGGATTGGAACCTCTCCACAAATTCACAACATCTCTGGTGACAAAGGGTACATTAAACAAAATTCTAGGCAAAATAATATTCCAGAAAACACCTACATTTAGAAAACATCCTACAAGAGAGTGCATGGCAAAAGCTGAACTTCTATTAAACAATAATTACTAGATTGTATGCTCGACATTTCTATCGCTTGATGGTTGACAAGGGCGCAGCTCAAGGCACCCTCGTTAACTATCATGTGATAGAAATCAGGAGGGAATAATCTAATTGTTTTAGCATAAATCTACTAGTTGTTCAAAATTTTATCTAAATCTTCTTCACAGACACTTCGAAAATGCCAAGAAGTGGCCGTCATTTTGTTGACAAGGGCACACTGCTACGCTACTCACTATCTTTCACAGTATAGATAGTAAGTACCGGTAGCGTAGCCAATCAGAGAATGGCATTCATGATAGAATGCTGGTAGATTTATTCTAAAAATCTGTAGAACCACAGAGTTAGCAATACCACAAACAAAGACAAAATTATTTACATTACACAATCAAAATAATCGAGTGATCTTCCTTTCTTTTCTTGAAACATTTTTCCTTAGGTTTTCACCAAGTTGTGGACTCATCAAAGTTTGAGACCAACGTTTTGCAAAACACTTGCCTTCGACTCATATTGTTCCTAGAGCAAATTCCTTATCTCCAAAATGTCAATCAGGTTTCCATACCTTGATTGATTGATGGACACTCAATTTATAATAATGACAAAGCTGCAATTTTCAGCAATTGCTTGGATCAATGTTGCTCCCATCCACCCATCCTACTATTGTTACAACTAGCACATGCTGCTGACTAAACTTTAAATTTTAGTCTACCACGACAATATGTTAATGCTGTATCAAAAAATTATTATTAATAAATAATTATTTGCTTACCTAATTTTATCTTTACTCCCTGCTAAGTCATTTTCACTGTTATCCAGAGAAGAAATGGATATCAGTATTAGTATTTATTTAATTTATTATTTATTTAATTTATTATTATTTAATTACGTATTGTTTATTTAATCATAGTGCATCAAAGCAGCTGGTGCATTCTTGCACAAAGAGCAGATTCAGCAATTCTTTTGATGCACTATAATATATTGAATAGTAAAGCAAGTAATCTTGGATCATAAATCCTGATCCGGATCACTTCAAGAAAACACACCCTAAGATGTAAATTGGACCGTTGTTGTAAGCTTATTTCACTAACAACTGAGATCTAAGCTTACATATATATTTAGCATATCTAAACCTTGTTCAAACCAATGCCCAGCAAGTACATAGTTAAGCTTAGATCTGAGTGGCGGACACCTTGACAATTTTCACTACCAAAGTAAAGCAAAAAGCAAAAAAAACTCATCCAAAGCTAGCTATCTTGCATAAACGTTATGCTAAGTCCAAATTGTTCAAAGAAAATTCCTGTCTCATATGTCTGAGAATAACTTTCTTGAACAAAGCTTCGCTTGTCGGAAGCAAACAAAAAAAGATCGCGTGAATCCAAACAAAGTTTTAAACGATACACGTGTAATAAAGTTGCTAAATTTATTTACCTGAATCTTTGCTGTTCTAAAGCTCTCAGTTCCATCGAACGATGCGTCATCATAGGGCTTCCAGGTTCTGTAAGCCCCACAACACGAACCTACAACAAGAATCAAAAACATCCATCGATTTTCTGTAAATCCTCGCGTATACAGAACTGAAGACCATGTGTTCGTAGGATAAATAAATAATGCTCATATTGAACTCGTTAGATTACATCTTTGTCTGCTTTTAAGCTCAGCAGTTCTGTTCTTGCAAGCCATGTTTCTCGGTGATGTAAACATGGCGGCTACTTAGCGAAATTGCGCCTTTCTTTCAAGCACGCGCATTGGTTAGTTTAAACCCACCAGAACAAACTCGTCCCCAGTTGCGCGCGTTTTCCGTCCAGAAGGATCGTGAAACATTGCGAGCGCTAGACAGAAGAAACTAAAACTCATTTCTGTATGGAAACCTGCCATGTAAGTAATTGGGTTTTCTGTTGATCATACTATAGCGCTAAATTACAACAAAGTAAGGTCGAGAAGACTGGCAAACTGTTTACTACTCACAACATGGCATCACTAATCAGCTAACAAGCTAAAAAAATTCTCGCTCAAAACGAAGGTGAGTTAGAGCTCCATCGAGGTCAGAAACAAAAAAGTACAATATAGCTAAGTATGATAATGGCCCGGACTACGTCCCTGTCCTTTCCTCGTAGCCTGAACAACCTATCCTTTATTTGCACGAGATGGCAAATTTTACCCTTTCTTCTTGCGCCTGAGATAACCTTACCGTTTTTCGTACCGCATGTTCTTTGTTCTAAGCGCAGTTTTTTTTTCTTAGTTAGCGTCTATGCATAACTTAGTCAGCCTATATTTGAAAGAGTAATCTATCAACAAAATTCGCTCGAATTCTGGATTCAAACCGCGACCTTGAATTTTGCAATTGTCCCAGAGCAGTGATGAATTTCGTCTATCCCGTAGGCTTGATTCGTAGCGTTTGCGATATACATAAATCGGTAACAAACTCAACTTAATTAAAAAGACATATTTTAGTGTTATTGGTAAGATTTTGGCCTGTCGGTACAACGCCGACAATTTTGTTGACTTGGAATTGGTGACCATCGGTTAGTAAAGGTGTTTCTTTTCAATGAAGCACATGTCATTTCTGACTCAGTATTCGAGTTTGAAACAGTGAGTGACTACTGCTTATATATGTAACATTTTGCAGAAGAAACAGATATCCTAAATGACCATGGGATTTTCGAGAGTTAGACTCGATCTTTCTTACATTACAAATAAGCCGAATTTTTTTCCCCGGGTCATAATTTGCCAGCTGGCTTTTCTCTTTATAATCGTTTTGCTGTTTGTCGGAAAAATGGTTGTAGCAACAAGATTTAAGACTAAGAAAATAGAAGACCCACGTATTGAACTAGCATTCATTATAGTAAATCGTTTTCCTTTCATTGCACTGATATTTTTGATAAATTTTCCAGATCTCCGAACTGCGCAATTGGATAAAATAAGCGCCAATTCTCATCGTAAAGTTGCAATTTTGACCAATTCTCAGCCGTTATTTTAACTTCATCCAAATTGAAATCACCTGCAAATATTTGAAGCTTCACTGCATTCAAGTATCGAGGAGAACTAATTTCTTTCTTTCTGACTGTAACACAGACTTTATCTCACGGTTATCGAAAGTGAGCTCGCTTATTTTCCATAATATATTCTTAATGCTAAAAGTCGCCAAAGATACGAGTGTATTGACCGGGAATATTGGATACAACGATTCTACAGACCAAACCACTTAACACGTAATTTATGAAAAATGTACAGGATTACAAAAATGAAAGAGGATTACAGTTTATAAAATTTGATTTTTCTACCAGGATGTCAAGAAATCAAACTTGCCCTATAGTGGTAAAATTTTGCGTGGAATTCAGGTTAACATTTAATTTTCTCAGTTTGCTTTCACCACGTTTGGTCTTTTATCCGTCCTCAGAATTGAAAACACATTTTTTACCAGCAGAGAAAACAGACTAGCGAACAACCAAGAAAAATCCCTTTGTCAGTCGTTTGTCCGTATGAGACAGACTTTTGTGTCTTTTGTATCAAGAAAGTTATGACTAAAAGTAGAGCAGACGGTAAGAAGAACTGACTGCCGACTGAAAGCAGCCGAACAGTACACTAAGATAATGAAAAGAAAACAAAGAAATCCCTGAGCTATTGTACTAATTAAAATCAGTTGAGAAAGAAAAACAACACTCTGGGCATCTGCCAAAACGTTTGTGTTTGGGATAAACAACGTGTAAGTTTAAGAAAAATATTGACAGAATTTAGCGAGAGCAAACTTAATCCCGCGTCACGTTCGCATTTGAAATCTGAAATTTTCAGAGGTATACGTCTCTAGATTCCTGTCAAAACATCAAAACTAAGCCAGACTGTGAAGTTATGACAGAAATCATTCAAACATTGCTGTGGTTAATTAATAATTAAACCAGGAAACTTTGACGAA